TTTGATAGACAGAAGTCCTGAGATGTTTAACCTGCAACAGCCGGCAGAGATCAGACATTAGTCTAGACACAAAGGGCATACCTTGGTCAGTTAGAAGGTCTTTCGGGATCCCCACATGAGTTCCTTAGTGATGTTCTGGGAGGTGGATTTCTGGAGAGGGACCACCTTGGGATACCAGGTGGTGTAGTCTACAATGACAAGGATGGACTCGTGGCCCTAGGCAGATTTTGGGAGTGGCCCTATGAGGTCCATGCCCACCCTCTCAAAGGGCACACCAATTATGGGGAGCAGGATGAGCGGGGCTGGCGCAGGCTTTTTGGGTGAGGTGCGCTGGCACTGGGGGCACTGCTGACAGAAGTTTCACACCTCCGCTTCCATACCTGGCCAGTGGAAATGGTCCCTTAGGTTTTCCAGGGTGTTGCGGGCCCCAAGGTGACTGCCTAGGGGGTGTGAGTGGGCCAGGTGCATCAGGAGGTTATCTTGGCATGGGGAATCATCAGGAGATCACAGGCTTGGCCTGTCAGTCAGTGTGATAGTACAGGAGTCCGCCTCTGATCAGGAAGTATGAGGCAGACAACACTGGGTTGAGCCTCTGGTTTTCCACCTCTACTTGTAGCACCTGGCCCCAACAATTTTTCAGGTGGTTGTCCTCTTTCTGCTCGCACCCAAAGTTGCCCTCATGGGTCACCTGGTGGAACACAGAGGAAACAGGGTTAGTGTTAATGTGGGCCTCACCCTCTGCTCCCGCTTCTGCATCGTCCTCCTCTTGTGCCAGGTAGGCCGGCCGGATCTGGGCTTGATTATGCCATGGTCGCCTTCAATGTCTTCTGGTTCCGGCGGCCTTTGTGGAAGTGGATGAGGCCGCGGGGAACCCTGGCCAGTCTCTTCCCAGGAATAGCAGTACCGGTAGCTCAGGCACTAACCCCACCAGCAACGGCCACACACCCCTGCGGTTCCCGAGGTCACGAGAGTGACCATGGTCCCTGAGCCTAGGAGGGCTGGGACAGGTGTGCATTCTACTTCCATGGTGACAGTTGAGGCTTGTGGTTGGGAGTGTGTGTGGAGGGTACAGACAGCTAACCAGGGTTTGTTGGCCCGGAGGGGGAGCGGCAGGGCTGGCTCGGTCGGCATGGGCTAATCTGGTGGCAAGATGTAGGCAGTTCTTTGAGGCATTCACTTCCCCACTGCTACCAGTGTCTGGGTGCCAAGGAAAGTTGTCCCATCGAGGACTGGGGAAGAGCTCTCTTCTCTCCCCTCTGCCAATCACCAGCATGGCCAAGGTGCATTCTAGTGCTTCGACCATTTCTCTGGGGTCGATGGGGGATCGCATACTGACCACTTTGCATTCCTCTGGCGGCAGAGTTCTCAGGAATCTGTCCATAGCAGCCCTCTTGATGACTTCAGTTGCCATGAGTCATTCCAGCTGTAGCCACCATTTGGATGTCCAGCAGGATGTCCATTTTGGCTCTAGGGGTGGCTCCAGGCTTGTAGAACCACGTGTGGGACTCTGCTGCCGCGTAGATGGGGGACAGTCCGCATTTCTTCCAGGATTTCTTCCTTAAGGATGCTGTAGTTGGCTGCATCTCCCAGCAGGAGAGCATAGTTGGCTATGTGGGTCTCCTGTGAGAGGAATGGGGTGAGAATTTGGGCCCAGTCCCCCCGTGCCATCCCTCATGAGTGCCGATCAACTCAAAGGTGTGCACATACACCTCTGTGCCTTCTTCTGCAGTCATCTTGGTGAAAAAGCGCTGGGTGTCTCTGCAGGAGTCAGGGAGAGGGGTGGCGGCGGTGGTATTAAGCTTGTGGAGGGCCAGCAGCTCTTCTGTGGCAGTACGGAGCCCAAGTGCCAGTTCTTGAGACACCACTTGTTGCTGGAGGCTGGTCTCCAACAGATGCTTCAGCACTGGATTCATGGGTGGGAGTTGGGTCTGTGCTCATGCCCGCATTCTCTACCAGTGTAGCAATTCCCAGCTGCGGCAGGCAGATCACAGACACAGAGGAGGCAGGATTAGTGAAAACAAGAGTGCTTTTGTTTTTTTTTTTTAGAAGGAGTGGTGGAGCTGTGTATGTGGAGGGAGAGTAAGGATGGCTGGCTTTCTGGGCTATGAGTCATGGTAAGGCACTGGCAAGGCATAGAAACAGAAGTAGCCAGTGGTGAATAGCAGCGGTGAATAGCAGCATCAAGGGATCTAGAGACTTCCCACAAGAGTTGGGGTGCATGCTCTCAGAGCACTGTCTTCAGTGCTGTTTTCAGTCTCTGGTAGAAAGAGAGAGAAATGGATCAGCATGTATGCAGAGACAAAACTTGCTCACCTCACTAGGCCCACTGCCCACTGCCTCCTTTTATACTCTCCTTGATTTCTCCAGGAGGGTGATTGAGCCATCACCGTTATTATTGGCTGCCAGCCGTGCTCTGTTTCGCTGCCCCACCCCATAGCCTTGCGCTCGCTCACTATCCATAACAATGGTGCTGAAGTGGCGCTGTCCTTTCAGCACCCGGGCAGTAGTCGCGCAAGGAGCGTGCAGGGGTTTTTGTGCACAGGCTGGAGGCCCGCTGTCACAGGTGGAAAGTAATTTTGGGGGAAGACTACAAATACAACAAAAAATATTTTAAAATGAGAATTTATTGATGTCTTAATTTATTTATGTCTTAAGCAGACATTTGGGCTAATTTATTTATGTTTAAAATATTGTACATTGATATGATTTAGCTATAATTAACAAATTGTGACAAATGCCACCATGGAACCCTGCAGTATATACACTGTCAAAAAAAATATATATATATATATATATATATATATATACAGTATATATATAAATTTAAACTATGCTTTACAGTTAATATCACATTTCCTTCAAGGACAGAGTAGGCAGAGACGAATGACCCAGTTTAAACACTAATGCCATTTTATTAATCACAGTTTGTAATACCAAACTGCATTTTGACCAATTGCAATCGTTCCAACAGGTGGAAAAAGGAAGATGGAGGTTCTGCTAAGTAAGTAAAATGTTTCAAAATACCTAGAAACATCCAGTCACTACCTTGTTAAACACACGGTAATTGAGGTTTTCCTCTCCTTTGAACATCAGGATGTTTGGTTTTGTCGCCCGAAAACATGGAAGCACAACTGATAATGTGAGTCACCTGTTTGCTGAGCTTGAACCCAACCAGCCTGCTACAGCCATTGTCAACTTTGTTTCCAAAGCCATGCTTAATTCCCAGAAGATCTGAAAAAGTATCCTCACAGCCATCTTGAATTTCAACTTGTGAGTGTGTATTTCTCCCTGCCAAAGACAGTTCTGTTATTCGTTTCCTTCCTGTCAGTGTGGAGAAAATTGTTTATTTGCTTCAACTGAAAAACACATGGCAGTTGGTTCTTTACTCTGGTTACACTGTAAAGATTTGGGGTAATTTTTGCTGTTAGAAGCTCCAAAATGTAACCTGAAAGATAACTAAGCTTGGTGTTGTGTTTTTGTTTTGTTTGTTTGCATTTTTGTTTTTATTTTCTTGTGCAAAACACAGCTCTTCAGTTACAACCCCTCATCAGACCAAAAGCAACATGGGAAAAAATCAACTGTGGTTGAACACTGCCAATAATAATCACCTCTCCCAGGCCTGATGAGTCTGTCACTAAGTTGAGAGTTTCAATGGACATTGGGCTACTAATTGCACTTCCTTCAGCTGATCCTACTTAAGGTTTGTTGCTGATGACAGTGACATATATCATGAGGATCATTTAAAAACTCTCTGGATGAGTCCACATCAAGCTGCATGTGGTAGTAGACCATTAGCGCTTGTGTTCTGTGCTCAAAGTTCTGTGCTCAGAATCTCACACTCTATCCTTTGGCTTCTGCACAAGTGAGAGACAAAATACATTGAGGACACTCATCATCATGACACACTGCTCAGCTGCATGTGTAGCTCTATTTATTTATATTTATTATTTAGTACTTCTCTTAAATGAAAAAAGGTCAAAAATTAATGTTTTGTGTCCCTTTTAAGTAGCCACTAAGGGGGGAAATGCTGTGCTGATATCATTTGTGTCCTTCTCAACTCAGAGTTTTATTTAGCTGTAACAAAATAGAAAAATTATTTTTTTCAATCACAAGATAATTTCTCAAATCATAATTTCACATTTACATTTATTGAATTTGGCAGACGCCTTTATCTAGAGCGACTTACAGAAGTGCTTTGAAGTCTCTATCAATAAATACATCCTGATACTGGTTCACTAGTTCATGGACTAAGAATACCATCAGTCTAAAAACTCTGTTGGGGAGAGTAGTTTAAGTGCTAATTTAAGTACTTCATAACATTGTTAAAGTCCACTGTTAAGGTCCACTCACTCTGTCAGTACCTCGTATTAGCAGATAATAACTATGAAAAGGAATATTAATAGATATGTATGTTTTACTATAAACAGATAACAATGAAATATTTATTTTGTTGCTATGTTTAGGAATGAAAAAAAAATGCAATACACTGTTTGCCAAAGAAATACAAAAGTTGTTGTAATGTAATTTAGCCTTCTGTAATGTCAAGTGACATTGCTTATGCTGTTTTTTTCTTTTACTCCATAGATTATCATAAAGCACTTGTGGATTTATTATAGGATTAGACCGGATCATACATAATATGAATATCATAAATAATTTAACTGCTTTTTTTTGTTTTATGTTTGATATGCACAAATGATGAAAACATAAAACAGTGCTGCCTAAAATGTTACCATGTGCCAAATTCATTTGTCCTATAAAAAAAAGACAGTCTATTTGACAGTGTGAAATCTGATACCAAAAATAATTTTGTTGTTCCTCTTTCGGCTGCGCCCTGTTAGGGGTTGCCACAGCAGATCACACAGCAGGTCTGCATATTTGATTTGACACAGTTTTTACGCCGGATGCCCTTCCTGACGCAACCCTCCCCAATTTTTATCCGGGCTGGGGACCGGCACTGAGAGGCCACTGTAGTACACAACCCCAGTGGCTGGGGTTGGTTCCCTGGCTGGGAATCGAACCTGAGCCACAGCCATGAGAGTGCTGCGGCCCAACCACTAGTCGTCCAGGGATCCTGCTTCCAAAAATAGTAAAACGTTTTATTTGGTATCATGATCTGTAGTCCAGGTCTCAACTGCTTTCCTAAGCAATTGGTAAAATGTTTTGGCACATGAAATCTGAAGCTATCACTTATAAACCTGCCTATTCTATCACTATCATTCTATCACTTATACCATTGTGTTAATTAAATGTAAGGAGAATTTACAGTGAAGTGGACAGCTAAGACCACTTGAGGTTCCATACTTGTCAGCCAAGAACAGAAATCTGAGGCTACCATGGGCAGAGGTTCACAGAAACTGGCCAAGTGAAGATTAGAAAAAAAAATCACCTGGTCTTTTTGTGGTCTTCAACTGTCTAGTTTCAGTGAGTCTTCATTCGATACTCTGTCTAATGATGTGTGTGTGTTGGGATTAATAGCAATGCTGTCTGTACAAGTGCTTGCTTTATATGTATTTCAGTAAAGCATTGCTTGTTTAAGATGGATTAGTTTAACTTCCTTACACTTTCTGCTGTGATGACAAATTACAGCTTCATGACAGAGGGACAAATCTGATCTGCCATTTAGCTGTGAGACATCCTAAAGTCAGTGATATTTTTCTGTGCAGCCATACGATTGGACACAGATGGATTTGAAATTAATTCAATTCAATTCAATTTTATTTGTATAGCGCTTTTAACAATGGACATTGTCACAAAGCAGCTTTACAGAAATAAATGGATTCACAAAAAATATATTGTAAATATGTGAATTTATCCCTAATGAGCAAGCCAGAGGCGACGGTGGCAAGGAAAAACTCCCTGAGACAATATGAGGAAGAAACCTTGAGAGGAACCAGGCTCAAAAGG